CGGCGTTGGCCCCTCTTGCGTTTCCTTCTGCTCGAGCCGGGGGACGTTCGCGTCTCAGTGACACCTGTCCAGGTGCTGGGGTCCGTACGAGGCGGACATTTCGTCGGCGTCCTTGGGCTCCCGGGGGTCAGGAAGTCGCCCGACTCGTGTCGGTCGACGTTAACCGCGTCTCGCTCGTTGCGCGTAACTGGGACGTCGGGTGTCCCGGTGATGCCTTCTCCCAACATCGGGTCTACGTGGGCCTCAGTGTCGGGTTTCTCCTGCGATGTCGACATTGCTGAACTCCGATAGCGGGGGATGTATTATCGGACGATACCCCCCGTGTCCTTGGCGAGCACGCGGGGACCGGTCTAGTTCATAGGGAAAAGACGGCTCACGCGACCGCGTGTACGTAACCGTCTTTACCCTTTTTTCGAACTACCGGTGCTATCGGAGCTACCCCCTGGCTATATGTGGCCAGGTCCCCTTCGGGTCCTTGGCCGCGTGGGTCGGGACGATCCCCCCACTGCGGTCGCGCGTCATCGGCGAAGTACTGGGGTACTTCCTGACCTTGAGCTGCGACATCCGGACGTCGCAGGATCTGAGGGACGTGTAGAACCAGTTTGCCTTCTTGTCCCTCTGCCGGTAGGGGATACGGGCCCTCTACCCAATCTTGTAGGTACATGATCGCGTTCTGTACCTGTTGGGGTAACCGAGGACGGTCTCGGTCCCCTCTCCCTCCTTGGCGGGGGTACCTTGTGTTGGCCTGGCGGTAGTCGGGCCGATCCCGACGATCGAGTTCGGTACGACGATACCCGCCTCCACGGGGGGCGAACCGAGCGCACCCTCCCGACCGATTCGGGAAACCTTGACGCGGGGGACGACCCTCGCCGAACGCTTGCCGGAGTAGATTGCGTGCCCCGGGGCGCGTCTCCATCTGGAAGCGGTAGTTCCTGTACGCCGTGAACATTTGTTGTTCCGGCGACAGGAACGGGCAGGCGTACATGGCGTGTCCGTACGTCCGGCACAGCCAACAGACGTAGGCGCTCCCGTCGGTGGAGGCAAAGGATGCCGCGTGAGCCTTCTCTTCCGTGAGTTTGGGCACGCTCGGCGGTCGGGCGCCCCCGTCTTGACGCGATATATCGAGTTCGGTCACTCGATGCTCCGGGCCAGTCAGCGGCCTCGGAGTGTGCGTGAACGCGGTCGCGTAACTTCCCGACGTCCTCGTGGACGTCGGTGTCGAAGGTCGGCCTCCTGCGGGTCCGGCTCCTTGAGTGAGGAGGACAGCGTTGTCCTGCCACTCATCTTCCGTCCCTACATGGAGGGCGGTTGCGGGCGAACTTGTGGTGGCGGATTTCGGAGTCTGCCCTGCTCTCCCTACCGGCTTCGAGCCCGGCAGAGGTAATCCGCGTCGGACGCGGTAAGTAGTTCCTTCCGCCGTAGCGATGCGGCGGATCGTCGGAAGATCGGTCTTCCGGCGGCTCGGCAGCCGCTGAATGGTTTCAGATACTGCGGCACGGGTCGCAGGGGCAAGTCCCCGCACAAAGTAGTGCGTGAGGGACTGCTCGGAGAACACCGCCGTGCATCGGAACGCGGCGGATTCCAGCCGGTCCGCAAAGGTGCTCTCCGTCTCGTGAGGTTGCTGTCGCGCCGTCGCGACAGCATCGTACGCTTCACCTAAGACGTCGTCGGTTAGGTAGCGTTTCAAGAACTGGTTGATGAGCCCCGGCCAGCTCATGTCGTCATGAAGCTGGCCGACGCGGAGGCCACGCATCGTATAACTGTTATACAGGCGCTCCGCGTCGCGCTCTAAGAAGTGCGCGATGACTCTCACCGCAACACCTTCGGTCAGGTGTTGGGCATTGAAGGTTACACGAATATCCTTCGAGAAGAGCAACAGCTGGATCTGGTTCGTACCGTCGAAGCTACTCATCGTGGGACGGATCCCACGACAGCGTTGTACGTAATTCGCGATCCGTCCCGCGTCACCCGAGGTAACGAGCCTCGAGGTGTTATCCAAGCGGTACATACGATAGTTCGCGACGGCGCCGAACTCTTGTATCATCGTATGCATGGGCTCGAGCTCGGGCTCAGCGGGACCCATCGTTCCAAACGGGGTGACGGGCAGCGTCCGTACGTCTGCCTGACCGGGATACGCGGTGTAATCCACCGGGCAGGGAGCCGCCCCAGCGGGGATCGACGAAGTACGCCGGTACTCCGGATCCGCGGGCGGCTCCTCCTCGGTCTTGGGCATCGGCGAATGTCACGCCATCCGTCTGCCGCCTACTTCCGGGGATAGGCGGCAATGCTTGGGTCTCGGACGCGAGATTCGCGCCCATCGGAGGACGGTTTCCTTCCGCAGTCCGACTAGTGTCGGCGCTAGTCGGACGCCAACCTTCCGGAGCGACGGCGCTCGGAGGTACCGCACCACCGGGCCCTCTCGTGGGGGCCCCGGGCGGCCTTGCGGCCATGGTCCGTTCCATGTCATGAGCACGCTGTCGCGTAGCGTTGAGCTCGGCGGAGAGGTGCGCGATCGCGCCCAACTGTTCTGCTGACGGGGACAGTCGACCGTCGGGACGTCTCGTCGAGGTCGGCCTCGTGGGGCGACCTTTACCCGTGCAGTACGGGCCGTGCAAGGCGTGAATCTTCGACGAGCACCAGTCGCGAGTGTAACTCGTCGACTAGTGCTCGGAGATTCTCCAAGGACTGGCTGACTCGATCGAACCTCCCTTCACGTAGGGAGCGAAGCTCGTCCATACATCGCAAGTAGACGGCGTCTGTCACGTCTATACGGAGTGAAGTACGGACTTCTTCGATGTAGTCAGCTATGCGATCGAACATCGCAGCCGCTTGTCGTTCGGGGGACTCGGGCGACGGTTCGCGGTCTCCGAGACCAGCGTTGCCGTCGCCGAACGGCGGTGATGGTGCGTGCATAGCGGCCGCCCTCGGATCCGCCGGTTCGGACCGGATCGAGGTGGCGTATTCTTGAGTCATCTCAACGCGTACGGACGCGGAGGAAAAAGAAAATCTTCTCGGAAAGATCTCGGGGTCTTCTAGGTCGGGAGACCACTGTAGCATAAACACCCCCAAACGACTGGAGGTGTATGCGCAGTTCGGCCTGTAGACCCCGGATCGGAGAAGGGGTGAAGCGGGCCAACCAGTTGCGGAACCGGGCTCGGGCCCGGGTAGCAGTGGTAGAGCGGGAGCGAGCAGGGACGCGCGCACGCACGAGCGGATCGACGCCTCGACGCCCCGGAGCAGCACTGGGTGACGTACCAGTGCTGACGGGCGGAGGCGGTTCCGTGCCCGCTCGCGTGCTGCGCATCCACTCTGGCTCGGCTCCGCCTAAACGCGCGCGAAGAGCGAAGGCGACGTTTAGAATAAGCTGGGTAGACTGACCTTGGCGGTCGGTTGAGGACAAGCCCGTGCTTGTCCCCCTCCTGCCGCCGTCGGTCCGCTCCCTATTTAATATACAAAACAATCTATCAAAACACTACAGTACCGAGGTACTGTAGTGGGTTACTGCAGTGCCGGTCGGCCAGCACTGTAATTCTATCAGCTGTGTCGAGGCTGACAGTACACGTATTACTCGTGGTGCGTGTGCGCTTCGTTCTCGCGCGGTACACGTGTGCACGTGTATGCGCGTGTCCCTTGTCCCCGTGGTGTACACGTGGACACGCGCGGTTGTACTGTAGAGCGTCGAGCTCTACAGTAGGGGATCCTGTTGTTGATCTAATCTAACAAAAAGGCCCCAGGGGGGGGGGTTATACTACAAACTCTACGCAAAACAACCCAACAGGTACCCTTGGTATCGTGCAGTGCTACCCGATCACTGTGTTTTCAACTACGATGTCGCTGTCGACGTTATGTTCATCGCCGGGCAAGCTATTCTACACGTTGTCTGTCGACAAACTCATTTCTCCAGAGCAGCATTACTTCCCAAACAAGACTCATACACGATTTGGCATACGTTCATGACTATCTGGGTAACCCCGTACCTTGGCGTACCATACAATCTTTGGGTTGACCAAGCAAAGGCATTTCTCTCAGTTCAGTTCAGGACTCTGGCGAACTCCCTTGGCTGCAACTTAGTTCCAATAGCAGTCGAAGCTCATTGGTCCCTCATTGCTGAACGATATCACGACCCTCTGAGAAGAATATCGAAGAAGCTGATCGTCGATCACCCTGCGGCACAACTTGAACTTATCATATATTACGCAAATCTGGCAATGTCCCATACCATTGGACCCGAAGGGTTCACTCCAGCCATTCTAGCTTTCGGTGCACAACCACGATTACCTTTCGGCAACTACGACCAACAACCCCAGACGGTGACGAACAGAATGGATCTCATGACAACTGCCATAAGAAAATACGAGGCCATTGTCTCCCAACTACGAATGCGCCGTGCATTTAATTCTGCCCCACCTAACGAAGCTGTCTACGAACTCACTCCTGGAGACGAAGTTCTTGTGTACAGGGAAAAACAAGGATGGGACGGACCATAAACATTCTTGTACCGCGACGGAAGACTGTCTGTTGTACTCGATGAAAAGGGACGCGAACACCTCTTCCACAACACCATGTTCAAGCCGTACCGCAGACCCAACCTCCCAATCAAGGATCTACTGAACCCTGCGGACGATGATCCTAACAGTGCAATGCATGCACATCTCGTTGAAGTCGTTCACAACGAACGCGACCCACGTTTCACGGAAAGCAGGCAAAAGGAATACGACGGCATTTTGGAAAAGGGCGGCGTGACACCCATTCCACGTTCACAACTGCCGACCGATGCGAACGTTATCGGAAACCGTTTCGTTCTCACTATCAAGGAACCGGGTACCACAAATCCTATCTACAAAGCTAGATAGACACTCCAAGGGCACCAAGACCGGTACCGACACAGTATCGCAAATGACTCTCCGATGTTGATGCGACTGATGTTCCGAGTCATCATCTCGTTGTCAGTCATCCTATTCAGCTGCAACATATGGACACGAGATGTCGAGCAAGCATACATGCAATCTCTTCCATTGCAACGAGACGTGTTCACCAATCCACCACCTGAGGCCAACCTTCCCAACGACAAAATACTGAAGATCGAACTACCTCACTACGGTTTGGTTGAAGCAAGCTCATGTTTCTTTGACACGTATTATCCTGTATTTACAAAGGATCTTGAAATGAAAAGTGCACCATTCGACCCGTGTTTTCTGTACAAGATTACCAAAGGTACAACAACTGGCATTACTGGACTTGCAAGTGACGACTCCATGAACACAGGAAATGCAGACTACGAAGAAGCAGAGGCTAAGGCTACCAAAGGTTTCATCACGAGGAAGAAAGTGGAACGAAAACTACGGTTCTTAGGATTTGTCATTGGCCGGGATGAAACACAAATCTGTATCTACCAGGACAACCACAGCAGTCGACTTGAAACACTAGAGACAGTCGATCATGACCGATTCAGAACCATCCGAGGCCAACTGTTATTCATCGCGCAGAGCTCCCGACCTGCCATTGCATACTCTGTCGCTCAGCTGTGTCAAGTTCAGTACAAGACAAAAACGCAACGTGATGTTAACGCTTTGAACAACACAGTCAAACATCTGCAGGCTACAACAAAATTGAAGTTGCAATACAATAAGCTCAACAAAAACAAGGTACGACTACTTGTGTTTATGGACAGCGGTTACAACACGAATAGGGATGGAACAAGTCAACTTGGCGTGATAATATTCATGGCAGACGACAAGAACAACTGTCATTTTCTTCACTGGATATCTTCGAAGTGTCCACGAATCACCCGTTCTATGCTAGCAAGCGAAACGTACGCATTTTCTATGGGCTATGACTATGGTGTTAGTCTAAAACTGCTGTTCAAGAAAATGAACATGGATATTCCACTGTTCATCTTTACTGACTGCAAAAGTATCTTTGACACCATCACGGCATCGAAACGACTACGTGAACTAAGGCTAATGAACGAGATTGCAGACATTCGAAGAGCGTACCGCGTGGGCGAAATTGACAATGTTGCATGGATTCGCTCAAAGCAGAACATCGCCGACAATCTCACGCGCCACAATGGCAATGACATTCTGAAGAAAGCTATGGAGACTGGACGTATTGACTTTGTCATAGAACAGTGGGTTTACAAGAACACCGGAAACGGCCTCCTTTAGAAAAGAACACAGATGAATGTGAAAGAACTAGCTTACTGTAGCTTACATAGGCTAGGCTTACACTACCGGCGGCGGTGCAAGTAGTTCCTATATCTTCACCGACCCGAGTTCCATCTTCCCCTTCTGGGAGGAACACAGTACACCACCACATCATTCATTGAACTCTCGAGATTCGGCCACACCTTCACTTGCCCTCTATGAGGTTCACACCATTCCATTTTCCCAGGCACCCGCCGGGGGTACACACTTCTAAGATCCAGAGGAATGCCATTTGCCCTCTCCATCAAGTACGCCCTTATTCGTCCTTTCGCCACTTGCCTGCGAAACTCTAGGTCCACGTTTTTTTCGAAAAATGCACAGAGTGCAACGCAAACTGCACTGTCATCGTCCAAATTCCCACTGGAAAGTTGAGTTACAGCTCAGAGGAGACCCGGTACACTGTAACTTGATGGGGCCTGGCCTGATCTAGTCGACTGGTCGTCAAAGATTACATGGAATAATGACATGTTGTGTTTCGCTTAGTCTTCGAAGTAGAAACGGCAAACTCGTTTTTATCTGCGCATGGCGAAACTCCCTCTTCTTTTCTATGAGAGAGCGTCAATATGTACCACCCACCCAGGGAACTTCATTCTGCTCTGAAGGATCGCATACAAAGTCCTTCTGCTTTGCTACATCAACTTCGAACAGCGTGGCTGTCTAACGTCAGCAGTGGCTCCCCACATAGCTTGTTTACCGCGCAATATACTTTTCAAACTGCACATGAGTGGACAGTTTCCTACATACTCCTTCAACCGTCCAACTTCAACTCGATTTTTATCTATTATTGTTCCAGGACTACGACCTCTGGACGATGTTCGTCAGAGGGAATATCCCTCTGATATACAGTGCAAACACATCTACAATGGCCATACAGACACGTATCCGCTACTTTAGTGAGAGACACCAACCTTGCATGCCCTGACATAGGGTTACAGGTACAGTACTGGTTTGTAAATTCATTGTCATTCCCCGTGAATGCATTTGCGCTTTACGATGCGAGGACTTTCTAACTTCCAACCTCTGTGAATTTCTACTGGTATTGCCATCCTCTGACAGGAAGCTCTCTTCGGCATTTTATCACACATCACTTCTTGTTCATCCTCGTCATGGATGGCGTAAATCTCTGCCTGACGCCCCCACTTGGTTATCCTCTTCAACCACAACGGGATGCCTTTCATTCGTGCATTGCTACTGCCCTTTCTGTTCACTTCTAGAATCTCCGTCTCAAAGCAATGTAGCCTGATCCAGAGCTGACGGGGGATCCAGTACTTCTCTACATAAACCCCGCTCCACCAACCTCGAAATTTCCTCTCACCCCACCACCACCATCGCAGCCCAAAACCGACCACTCCCATCCATCTAATTATCCCACAACTATGAAGGCTGCTCTTTTCCTGGCCCTTGTGGGTCTCGCTCTCACCTCGGTCTTCGCTGCCGAAGATATTGAAGCCGTGGAGCACACCAAGTACATTCCGCCTTGCCCCTGCCAGTGCTTCGTTGGCTACAAGGCGCGCAAGGCGATCCGCCAGTGCCGTTCGTACATCTTCAGGAAAGGGTGCAAGGTCCTTGCCTGCAAGAAATATCACATCCGCGGAAAGGAATGCTGTGACCCCCTTAAGCCGTCGTCCACCCCGACCGCCACCCCTACTCCGACGCCGTCGACTACTCCTTCCGCTACTCCTTCTCCGAGCATGAAGCCGAAGGTTTGCCCGTGCAAGTGCACCGCCAAGAGGTGGGCCAAGAAGGACTGCAGATACAAGCCGTGGTGCCAGATCGTAAAGTGTGAGGATAAGCATGTGCACCGTCCCCATGGCCACGGCTACAAGCCGTACCGCCCCCAGTTCAAGTGCTGCTACAAGCCGCACTACGCTCCTCCCACCTATTAGGCACCTTTCTCTACTGTTGGCGTTACTACTAGCAGGTGTGGGTCATGATAAGAGTGTTAATTCCTTCCACTAGGAGTCTTTTGTATTCTTTTTGATACAACTATAATTGGTGGTGATTAGGATCAATGAAAGATGACGTAGCCTCAGTAAAATAACCCAAGTTGACCTTAATCACTTCTCGCTTTTTCCTGGGCTCTTGCTTTGCCAGTTATTAGTGACGTGACCGAGTGAAGAGCTCTGGTTGCCCGCCAAAGAGGTGTGCGGCATAGTTTGCGGGGAGCAAATTTGCGCCACGGCACAGTTTGACGTCGCGGATGTAAACTATACGGAGTGACTGTCCTTGACTTGGGAGTCGACTGGTCTGAACTGGTTCGATCAGTTGATGCATGTATGCGCAGAAGTGTCCTTTTGGGAACCTTAATGCCCCATTTTTGCCTGTCTATTGTAGTCGATTGTACTTGAGACTTTCATAATTGTAAGATAGCCGTCGGAGCAGACTAGAAATAAGGAAGACCAGCACAGGAGACAAGCATAGCAAATAAAGAACCCAATGAAACTCACCAGCGCATCAGCCGCCTTGTTGCTCTTACCCTATTTTGTATTCAGCAGGCCCGCAGATGGGCATGCATTTATCAGTCTCCATCCTCGACTTTTATCCAACCAGCCAGAAACGGCATTGCGTGCATAATAAATGCTTCGCAAAAGATGTGCCTACGGCAGTACTGATGCTATATCGATAACAAGATTTATTTTATAGTAGGGGTGAAAATTAGTAGAGGCACGCAAATGCCTATTGTTGCATGCTGTCGCTCATCGACCTACGCATCTGATTGACAACTCCGTTTATGGGACACTAGTTATCCATAAGTCTATAGTAGCATCCTTGATATGCCTTATATGGGTTTATAGAACCCAGAAGGCTAGCTAGTAGATGATTTCGTGTCAATGCAGTATATAAAGGCCGACTCAACCACTGTTGGGAAGGCAGACAACGACGAACTTCGAACACCGTCACCGCACTTGCCCAGAACGCAACTGGCCAAGCGGCTCGCCAGCACTCCGAGCCGTCTCCTCGGACCCGCCTCTGAACCGTCACCTCCGCTCTGGGCAACACCAAGTGACCAAGAGACTCTTTCCTCCCTAAGCTGTCCTCCGCCGACCCGCTCAGTGATCCATTACGAACCCCGAATACGATTCCCTGTTGTTGTGGACTGTGTGCCTGTGGCTGGCCACACTATACAGTCTATATAGTAATAGTACAGGCTCTTCTAAATTGTGTTGCATCCTCCGGCGGCAAGAATTAAATAATGTAGGCTCTGCCACTTACTGTACCGCAAGGGTACAGTATGTGCGCACAAGAAATCGAATGAGTTTATTTTCCTTTATTTTTTGAGGTTTCTACGCGCCGCCAATGTGATGATTCATGACTGCAATAATCGTGTATCTGTTGTACACAGTGCTTAACTGTGCTTGTCCCACGGTCGCGATCAAAGGCCATTCTCTCGATCCCCAAGCTCACTGACCTGAGTGAGCTCGGCTACTGCTACATAGAATATAACCGTTACCCTCTTCCTCCCGAGGCTAGACGGACTTGGAGGGTAGAGGGAATAACGACAGTAAACGCACAAGAAGCTGGGCTGGGCCTCTCTGTCTACTCCACTCGCTTTACCCACTCGCGCCGATATCCCCCCCAAAAGTTTGAGTCTCTGGGAATTAGCGCGACGCTACTACCCTGCTTCAGCAACAATCCAGATTTGCTGTGTGGATGTGGCTTTTAAAATGACTTGATTATCAGCCCAGATACGTCAGGCTACGGTTGAGCGTCCAGTCCCCTCAAGCGTATCTGCTTGTTCATTACGAGAGATGAAACGGTCAATACAATAGGTACCCCTCAATAGTGCATCCTCATGCCATAAGCTATAGATACGCACTACTGACAGCACGAACTAATGAAGGTTTATCCACAGGTCACGGCCCCCCGGCCACAAAATGCTCCGACACCCTCAAAAACGGGGCATGTTAAGACTCTCAACATGCCCCGTTCCCCCCCGTTTTTGTCTTAACTTAAGACACACCCTGACCACGACAGCAGCGGATGCTGCTGTGGTGCAAAGAACGATGGTCCGATGTTTACTGAGGCTAGAGGTCGGAGCACTAAGAGGGACGGCGGCGGAGGCGCCGTCTCTGGGGTGGACACCTGGCGTGCGTGTGTGCGTGTGACAGGTGTACATGGGAATCATGACAGCTGCAACGGAATGAAGGTGGCCTCGAGGGGATCGCGATTCGGTGGCGGTCTCTCGCTTCGCAAAGGGAACAGCCAATAGGGCTGTTCCAAGTACCTAGGTATTTACACATTGTTTGGCTCCGACGAGGGCTACACGCGGAGCGATAACGTGCGAGGCCGCACGCACCAAGGGCAACGCACACGAGCTGGCGTGCCTGCCTCCGAAGGGCGCCGGTGGCTCCGCCACCGGGCCGGAGCGGAGGAGGATAGAAGGCCAAGAGAGCAGGGGGATGGGAATAATAAAGGCAGCCCATTCAGAGGAGACCTCTGCAGTGTGACTTTGCCGTGGGGGCGAGTCGTCGTTAGGTCCTTTGTTTCCCTTTCCTTTCGCGCCGCGCCAGGGTCTTGCCCGCGAGTCGTTACAGACAGCGTGACCCCTTGGCGCGGGGTGGGGGGGTGGCGGCGGCCGGCGCGGACAGGAGAAGGCGGCGCATGGTTAAGAGAGCGAGCACCACGGTCGGCGGGAGGAGCGGCAGCAGCAGGGAGCGCGAACGCTTCGCGATTGGCGCCATGGTAGTGATGGCCCCCCGCCGTGGCGAGCTCACGCGCCCCAATCCTCACCTGAACTCCTGCGGACGGGGAGATGAAAGACAGAGGAGGCAGGAAAGTTGTGGGCGGTTTCAGGGGTGTGCGGTTCAGTCGTTGTGGGGAGATTGTAAGCAGCGCGCTGATCGAACTTGTCACCGACGGTGGGTGGGTGGCGCGTGTCTGGAAAGGGCATTCCGGGACGCGTAGGCGAGGGACGGCATGCGATTATTGGCAATCCCGACGTGGAGCGAGAGCTGCTCCGGGTGGGGACCATGGCGGCGTTGCCGTGTGTTTCGCCGGCGAGTAAAGAGATGGCCTGCATGGAACGCATCGCCCCCCTCAAGCCTCTCGACCGCCGGCTAAGAAGACGGCGCGCCGGGTATGCGGCCGCCCGGCGGGGGCGCGCGATCAAAACGCGCGCGCGGCCACCTGTTGCGCGACTGCTGCAGATTCAAGCCGCATTTTAGCTTACCCGGGCCGCCGTCCGCCGTCAGCCGTCCGCCGCGCGTAACTGCGCCCTCTCTCCACGTGCTTATTTCGCCGCGCCCCACGCGGGGCGCGGCCGGTCGCAGTCGCTGAGGTGCGGGCGGATGGCCCGTGCCGGCGGGGTAGCGCAAATCGCGCCGCCGTGCGTCTTCTAAGCCGCACGTAGCATGGCTGCAGCTCCGCCCGCAAACGCTTCCCGTTCAAACCACGCGCGACTCGCAGCGCAAGCACCATGCCGCCCTGCTTCCCGCTCGTGCGCAGCAATGCGCGCATCCCTTTCAAAGCGCGCGCGTCCGAATAAGCGTCGCCGCCGCCGTTGCGCGTGCCCTCACCCCGACGCGCCGGGCCTCCCTCCCCCTTCCCCCGCTCTCCCTTGCGCGCGCCCGTCGCCGCCGCACGTATGGACAGCGCTCGTGCCCCCGCCGCGTTCTAGTCGCGTGGCGGACGCTTCCCCGCCGCGACCCGGCTTGCAGCAGCAGCGGGATGGGGAGCTGGGGCGCACTGTTCTCGCCGCTGGCAGAGTGTGGCGGCGGCGGGGCGCAGTCTAGACAAACTCATAAAACATCTTTCGTCGTCTCTACTCTCGCTCCTACTTATCCGTCTCGCTTATCCGTCTCGCTGCTGGCTGTGATCAGACAGCTTATCGCGGTCGGTCTGTCACTGGAGGCCGCTTGTGTTACCTGTGCCGGCCAGGACACTTTCCCTTTTGCCCAGTGCTTTTCTCTCACAGTAACCGATGCCCCTTGCAAGGACGGTGTTCGTAATTGGACTGAGTGACGACGCTGACGCTCCGTAAAGGGAGAGGCCCAAATGTTTAGTAAAGTTGAAATTTATGGTAAAATTGAGGGAAAAAGTTGGCCTCGTTTTGCCACTTGTCTTCTCACACGTGTGGGCCTGTGCACGTGGAAACCTGTGCACGTGGAAACCTGTGCACGTGTACCCATCGCCTCTTCAAAGTGAGATTGGTCCCCGCTTTGACCCGGTCTGCAACGCTTCTCAACACACCGTTCATTCACGAATACCTTTATAACTTTTGAGCACAAGAGCGCACGATGAACGGAAGCAGGTCGCTAGTTCATACATACACATACACATACATACACATACATGGATTGCAACGTCCGTGAGGCGAGCTTCTCACGCATTCATAAATCAAAAAACCCTCAACGCACTGCTGATGTCACGGGCGGCAGGCGGCCATCGCACTTCGATACTTACTTACACCACTAGCTTCATGATAGCAACCAGATTGCCCGCCCCTGCAACTGCGACCCCGTGATTGTGGTCTATCTGCAAGTCTCGTGGATCGTCTAACTGGGCCAAGACGGCCTCGGACCCATCCTCTCGCCTTTGCACAATTCTTCCGTCCCTTGAAAATATTTGTGATGTTCGTCCTGCGCGAGAAGCAGTACCCAAGTCTGCCGTCTTCAGGAACCGAGCCGTGATTTCTTCCCAATTCTCTTCCGTCCCGGTATGAAGTGTGATCCCTCTCTCCACGTCCCACACCCGCACGCTCTTGTCAAGCGATCCAGATACCACACGTCTTCCGTCCCCACTCATCGCAACGCTAACCACCCAACTCGTGTGTCCAACTAACGCCTCCCCGACTTGTGCTCCCGTCTCCACGTCCCACACCCGCACGCTCTTGTCATCCGATCCAGATACCACACGTCTTCCGTCCCCACTCATCGCAACGCTACGCACCCAATCCGTGTGTCCAACTAACGCGTCCCCGACTTGTGCTCCCTTCTCCACGTCCCACACCCGCACGCTCTTGTCAAACGATCCAGATACCACACGTCTTCCGTCCCCACTCATCGCAACGCTCAACACCACATCCGTGTGTCCAACTAACGCGTCCCCGACTTGTGCT